CCTTCCACCAAAGAAACGAGACCTCCCCGTGACCAGCGAGGATATGGGGAGAACTACCAGCTGTTCCACCAACCACACACCCTCCAGTGATGCCTCTGAGTGGTCCCGAGGGGTTGTGGTGGCTGGGCAGAGCCAGGCAGGAGCCAGAGTCAGCCTGGGAGGCGATGGAGCGGAGGCCATCACTGGCCTGACGGTGGACCAGTATGGCATGCTATATAAGGTGGCTGTGCCACCTGCCACCTTCTCACCAACTGGCCTCCCATCTGTGGTGAACATGAGCCCCTTGCCCCCCACGTTTAATGTAGCATCTTCACTGATTCAACATCCAGGAATCCACTATCCCCCCATCCACTATGCTCAGCTCCCATCCACCTCGCTGCAGTTTATCGGGTCTCCTTACAGCCTTCCCTATGCTGTGCCACCTAATTTCTTACCAAGTCCCCTCCTTTCTCCTTCTGCCAATCTCGCCACCTCTCACCTTCCACACTTCGTGCCATACGCCTCACTCCTGGCAGAAGGAGCCACTCCTCCCCCCCAGGCTTCCTCCCCAGCTCACTCATTTAACAAGGCCCCCCCTGCCTCATCCCCACCTGGGCACTTGCCACATCATTCAAGTACTCAGCCACTGGACCTCGCTCCTGGCCGGATGCCCATTTATTATCAGATGTCCAGGCTGCCTGCTGGGTATACCCTGCATGAAACCCCTCCAGCAGGTGCCAGCCCCGTTCTTACCCCTCAGGAGGGCCAGTCTGCTCTGGAAGCAGCTGCTGCCAATGGAGGACAGAAACAACGAGAGCGACACTTACTAAGACGGGAAAGTGAAGCCCTTGACTCTCCCAACAGCAAGGGCGAAGGCCAGGGACTGGTGCCTGTGGTGGAATGTGTGGTGGATGGACAGTTGTTTTCAGGTTCTCAGACTCCACGGGTGGAGGTGGCGGCACCGGCACACCGAGGGACCCCAGACACTGACCTCGAGGTCCAGCGGGTGGTTGGCGCTTTAGCTTCTCAGGACTATCGCGTGGTGGCAGCTCAGAGAAAAGAAGAACCCAGCCCCCTCAACTTGTCCCATCATACCCCTGACCAGCAGGGTGAGGGGCGAGGGTCAGCCAGGAACCCTGCAGAGCTGGCAGAGAAAAATCAGGTCCGTGGATTCTACCCTCAGTCCCATCAAGAACCGGTAAAACATAGACCTTTACCCAAAGCAATGGTTGTAGCTAATGGCAACCTGGTGCCCTCTGGAACTGACCCAGGCCTGCTGCCTGTGGGTTCGGAGATCCTGATGGCATCGAGTCTGGACACGCAGGCCAGAGCCACCTTCTCAGACAAGGAGCCAACGCCACCCCCTGTTACCTCCTCCCACTTGCCCTCCCATTTCATGAAAGGCGCCATCATCCAGCTGGCTACGGGGGAGCTGAAGCGGGTGGAGGACCTCCAGACCCAGGATTTTGTGCGCAGTGCCGAAGTGAGTGGGGGGCTGAAGATTGACTCTAGCACGGTCGTAGACATTCAGGAGAGCCAGTGGCCTGGATTTGTCATGCTACATTTTGTGGTTGGTGAGCAGCAGAGTAAAGTGAGCATCGAGGTGCCCCCTGAGCACCCCTTCTTTGTATATGGCCAGGGTTGGTCCTCCTGCAGCCCTGGGCGGACTGCACAACTCTTCTCTCTACCCTGCCATCGGCTACAAGTGGGAGATGTCTGCATCTCTATCAGTTTACAGAGCTTGAACAATAACTCAGTTTCTCAGGCCAGCTGTGCTCCCCCAGGCCAGCTGGGTCCCCCCCGAGAAAGGCCTGAGAGGACGGTCTTGGGACCCAGAGAGCTGTGTGACAGTGAGGGGAAGAGCCAGCCTGCAGGAGAGGGCTCCCGTGTGGTTGAGCCCTCTCAGCCTGAGCCTGGTGCTCAGGCCTGCTGGCCATCCCCGAACTTCCAAAGATACAGCGTGCAAGGGGAAGAGGCACGGGCTGCACTGCTCCGTCCCTCTTTCATTCCACAGGAGGTCAAGCTGTCTATCGAAGGGCGTTCCAACGCGGGAAAATGAACCTCTTTCCCAGACCAGAACTGGGACTTTACCCCAGAGCTGAGTCTCACCGTGAGCAGGCAGAGGATTTGCACACGCCGAGCAGGGAATGGCTCTCTTGGCAGTGAGATTTGGAGTTGGGGGAGGCATGAAGGCAGCCTCCCAAGGCAGGATCTCTTGCTCAGTACCCTGTGGCACCCTTTCAAGACAGCCCCAAAGGGTACTGTGATGGGGAGCAGCAGGCCTGGGGCAAGGAAGGAAGGAAGGGGGTGCACACAGGATAAGAAACATTCCAAAATCAGGGCCTCCTTGTTCTTTCCTCCCCATCCCTAGCTCCTGCAATGGGAAGTCCAGACTTTGGGAGCAGGTGGCAGAGGATGGGAGCAAAGAAAGAGCCAAAAATGATGATCCACAGCTTATAGTAGCAGTTAAACTGTCTGAAGTTGTTTTTTTTTTGTTTTGTTTTTTTGTTTGTTTGTTTGTTTTCTTTTTATGTGGTGGGAGGGCTGGAGACCCCGTGGTTGGAAATAAGAGGGTTCCCACCCAGAACCCTTCTTGTGAGAGATGTGCACTTTAAAGGGTGATTATGTTACAGATGTCTCTGGCTGGGTGTGTGGAGGAGCACTCTTATCTATAGGACTCTGCTTAATCCTCTGCTTCAGCCCTTTCCCATCTCTCCTCACCATTCTCCTATAAGGCTTCTAGCAGCTTGGGGCCCAGGAGAGAGAGAACCCCTCCAGAGTTCAGAGTGAAGTACTGCCTGTGGGGGTCTAGTTGGGAGACTTTGGGAGGAAGACCGGATGGATGGCCAGGTTGCCCCAGCTGTAGGCAAGGCTTCTGGAAAGAGAGCTGATCTAACAGCTCCTCCTACTCCGCTTGTCATTCCCACTTTGAAATGTCACTGAATCTCTAGTCAGTAATGGTGACTATTGGAAGAGCCAGTGGACCCTTTTCCCCAGGTATCTACACTGCTCCTTTGTCTGTCTGTGTCGTGCCTAAGTGCCTGCGCTGCCCCCACCCATCTGCTGCCCTAACTTCTCTGCATGGTGTCTTGACCTGGGCCACGCTGGAACCTGCACTGCCTCTCTTCTGCAAAATTGGTTTGTCTCCTCTGACCAAGACCTCTAGTTTTTGACGTGTAGGGGTCTCTGGTTTCCCCTTCAGCTGTAATCTGTTTTCAAAAATTCAAAATCATGTCTCTTCTCTTCTACTGCCAAATGGCTTGGTGGCAACATGAGAAGGGAACTCCTTGGGCCAGAGCAAATGCATCTGACTGGGCGATGCCCATACTGGCATTTTTACTTGGCCTCTCCCATCTTGTTCCCCTGCCTCTCCTATATTCAGGCTTCTAGCCATCTCCTCACACCGCCAGCTCTAAGGCTTAGGATAGTCTCAATAACATTTCAGTACCTGAAGTAGATTTCGTTTTGTGGTGGTGTATTCCTCTGTGAAGAGCATTTTCAGTCTTAGTTACATTCCCCTACCCCTCGTCTTCAGCCCATGTTTTCTTCACCACTTTCAGCATCAGCTTGGACTGTGGGATTCAATTGGGTATTGGGAATTAGGCTCCCCTGCCAGCTTGCAGGTGAGTGAGGTTTTTTTTATTTGTTTCTTGGGGGTCTTTAGACTCTTGAAAGCAACTCAGGGTATTGTCCACCCAGCTCTCTGGTTAGGCTTCTCCCAGGGTGTGATCCTGGCATTTCCTTTAGACTGGCCAAGGACTGGTCTGTCATCTGGAGTCCCAAACCTCTGAGGTCCAATCTCTGCTCTGTCAAACACTTTAGGCAAATCTTGTGACCCCTCGCTCTTTCACTTCCTCCCCAGCTGCCAAATGGGGATAAATAATCTTACCTACCTCCTGGGGGGAGGGGAAGTTCTGAGAGTGGGGTCATTCTTAGTGTTCAGGTGCTAAAGGTTGTTCTCCTGGGAGAACGGAGTAAGTGAAACTGGCTTGTTTGCTACAAGCCGTACACTCCACACTGTTGGATTCCTTGAGAGCAGTTAGCTAGTCAGTCAGCTTTGAGGGGTTCGTCCACAGGAAGCTGCTTGCCTGACCATGAGTACTTCAGTCTCTGGTTCGTATCAGAACCAAATGCCAACCCGTACTGCATTTGGGATCATGTCTTGTCCCCCATTCTCTCTGAATGCTGCTTTCTCTGGCTTGTTTCCTGCAGTGGGGGCCTGTGGGGTTGAGTCTTGAATCCCTGTAGATGAGAGCCTGAGGAAAAGGCCTCATTTCTGGCTATTTCATGAGCAACTCATTCCTAGGGATGATTGCACGGGTTTCTCATAAGTGTCCTTCCTCATAGGAAGGCTCATCAACTGAATATAGTGACCTGCACATAGTAGATGCTCAAGAAATGTCCACCAAGGACACCAACTGAACTTCCTCCTTATGGGAGCAAACTTATATCTAACTGATTACAAGCCACATAGTTTAAATCAAAGCACCCTCCACTCTAGCTAGTTGTAACTTCCTAACCTGGTTATTCCCACTGAATCTGGCAAAAAATTCTTGGGGACCTTGGCAGGTTGGGCCTTGACCTTTCTGCTGCTGTTTCTCTTCTGTCTCTTGCTGGTAAATCAATACCAGCAGCTCCCTTACTATTGTGCCATGTGTATGTAACATACTAATACTTGATTTTGTGGAGCTGCAAAAGCATCTTTCATAAAGTATGGACCCCCAAGAAAAGAAGCTCTTGTTCCAAGTCTTGGTCAGAGCTGTGGCATTCTCCTTACCTTTTCCCCTCTGGTTCAGTCTTTTCTTCCAGATATGAGAAATAAGAGTAACCTGTAGTGTGTACATTTTTCCTTATAGGAATTTGCTAAGTTTCCAAAAGACATGGGAGCAGTTTTTAGAGTGAGCATTAGAGTGAGTGGGAAGTTAGCTTTTTTGGAATGGGCAGCCAGTGAAAGCCAGAGCTAGCCCCTAGTCAGCGGTAGGACATTCCTAGAGCTGAGGGGGGATGGACAGGGGGACTGCTGACTCTGGCACTATACAGGAATGCCTATTCCACCCT